ATGATTTTAAAGAACATACCCCAAACTTCCACCGAACATAAAAATCTCGAACAATACGGGACAATACACACAACTTTCACTCCACAGAACACATGTTAATACGAAATTTTCGGTTAAAAAAGCTATCAAACAAAACTCCACACTATACAGATATAACACAATAAACCACATTATTTTCCATTAAGTTAAAAAATAGATATCTTTCTTATATTCTTCCATTATAAATTTATTTCTTTTTTTTCCTTGTTAACTATTATCGAACAGCTGTTTTCTTACAATATTTTACTGAACTGTTTACAAGTTTGTTGTTGCTTCAGAAGCATCATGTTTTACAGCTCATATTTAGGACAGAGTTGCCATATCCAAATAATTTTTTGTATATTTTAGACCACTGAAATGTCTCAATTAATACTGCGTACCTATTTTTTTGAAATAAGAAAAAAGAATTTTTGGATTTATGCCAAAAAATTTGAATTTCAGACCATTGTGGTATGTGAAGAATATCTTTCAGAATTTTTCCAGAATTTTCTTTATTTTTCGTACAGAAATTTTTTTACGAGTTCGTGTCAACCACTTCATGTAATTTTCTTTGAAAATTCGTAAAAAAATCGTTACAGAAATGAGATACTCCTAACGATTTCCTTAAGATTTCGGGAACTTTGGTTTGCATGGTATGAAGTACAACGGCTCAAAAAGAAGTACTGTACTTCCGAAAGAGTATGATGTTCATCTGATGTTTTTTTTTTATTTGATGTTGAATAATATTGAATGATGAGGTCCACTATTGATATGAATCATAATGTGATCTTAGATGTATTTAGCGTATCGTCGTTGGAATAAAGAAACAGTGTAAATGCCATATACACTATTACTCAATAATCGTACCATTGGATAGACAATCCTTAAATCTATTAGAAAAATCTTAAATTTTCTTAAATATATTTTTGGATCACGAACTTATTCGCGAAAACCGAAATTTTATAATAACAGTGTAGTCACCACAATTGTTTACAAATAGTGTATGGTGCACTTGGACTATTATTAAGAAAATCCCAAAGAAATTCTTGTAATATTAAAATAACGTTAGAGTATTTTACTTCATTATATTGCTGCTAACTTTCACAGGCAGCTTCAAAATGTGAATAATAAAATAGTGTAATATCGAAATACATCAATTAATTTTTCTGAGTTTGCAACCAATATAAAATAGTGTACAATGATTTCAAAGATAAAATAATGTATAAGCAGATGCTTTTAGAAAAATTGGCTGAAATGGCATTTCTAAGTGAACATGGTACAGAATTTTTTTGTGAGTTAACAGCTAAGGAATTAATACAAAATGTGTGTATTTAAAATATGAATAAGAAGCGCACAATTAAAGTTTAGATTTGGTCGATTGACTTATAAATACTTCTAATTCGTTTTTCTCAAAACTATACTTTTTATGATACACTACTTCATTATTCCAGCGACGATATGCTCAGTGTTAAACAACAAAAAAAAGCTTTTGGAAATTTTAATTGCTTATAAAGCAAAACTTAGTTACTAACTAATTAATACATGTATTTAAAACTAATTTATCGAACCTATATAAACTGTGTTCCAATAAACTGATATTTTGGAACCTACCTACGAAATTTTAGCGAAATCCGACAAGATTTGATTGATTGGTATACCTACTTGTTTTAAAGATGCATTTAAAATCTGTAGTTTTCGGAAAACAAACAACAAAGTTGAGCGACCTCTAAATCTTGTTCAAATAAGCTGAAATTTTATAAGGAACTTGTCTTTCCTCACATCTTCAAGAATCCGAACGTTCTCAGTCGAAATTGTGTACATACAGAAAATCAATAAAGTTTCGGTACAGAGTTTTTTGCAATAAGGGCAACTTTTTTATGTATTTTATTTATCGCTAATTTTTTATAAAAAATATGGTTAATTCTACAAGAAACATTTTCATTAAAATATTGCATTTTTTAATGGCACACTTTAGTCCAGTATGCAATTTTCAAGTCTGTAGCTCATCGGGAAGATCGTTAAAAATTCATTGCCAGATTTGATTACACACAGGTGGAACATAATAAAAGCTTGAAATGACGACACCTTCAATAAAAAAAAAAAAAATTGGCCAAAAATCAATGTTAGTATACAATATGTTAGTAGCTACCTCAAACTAGCAAACTATACTAAAAATGAATGGACTAAAACTGCATAATCAGTATTTTTCTAAAAAATGTTATTAAAAAGTCTGCCCAAAATTAATTTTTTTATTGAAACATTTGGTCCAACGTTTTCGCCAGTAATTCACGTTCATGTTTGGTTTTGTGGTCGACAGAAAACATATGCTCTATTGCCGTTTTAAATAACCTGACGAAAGTCTTATACCGGGAAGAAGTCCTTGTGGCTCGATAGAGAATCGTCCTTGAATCTGTATAGTACAGTTGGTGGCAATTTCTAAACTGCTGAGTATCATTGGCCCACATTCTGTTTAGTCACCGTAAATCAAGGACCGCAATGGTTCTGATGGTTGAGTTAACAAGAGCAATTGGACTTTGATCCCTGGTGCCTGCGAATCGAGGATTTTTAGCTATAACTCGGCTTCAGCGCCACTAAAAATTATCATTAAAATCGTTTCGATCGTTACGGAGGGGTTAAGCCACCAGAATAAGTCTTTTACATACTGAAACTTTTCGGCATTTTTTGACATACAAAAAAACTATCACGCATTCGTTATACGGAGAAAATGCGCAACATCATCAGCGAACAAAATTCTCAAAAATCAATGGTACCTTATAGCCATTTAAAACTTGCGCTTTATGATACTGAAATTGAGTGAACTACAAAACTGCATACTTAATTTGGTGCCATTTGATGCAAAATGAACTATATTTCTATAAAAAATTAACAAAAAAATGTATTATGAAAAGAAAACACTGTATTCTGGGTGTATATACATATATACAGATAGGTAAAAGTTTCAACATGTTTGGAAAGCACCACGTCCCTTTTGCAGTAGCCCAAAATCTCTATACCGATTTCCAGGACACTACCACAAATACTTCCAGAGATATACGGTATGAAAAATTCGATATTTATGGGTGATGCCACGCTCCCTTAATATATCGAAAGTCTGCTGTAGGTGTCCAAAATTTCAAAGGATCGGTACAGCCGTTCGCGAGATCACCTCTTATAAAAAGAAGGAGCTTTTCTTTATATAATTAGTGTAGGTAACACAGGGCAACACCGATTTTGATGCGGCAAAGATTGAAGCTGTTTTTGATAGGCTTGATTGTGCTGATTAAGAATCCGTAAGTATAAAGTTTCCATCAACTCCAGATTTTGAGAAAAATGTGGTGAAAGTGTCAAAAAATCACACTTTTTGCAATATTTGTGAAGCTCTAGCAATGAAACAAAAGGAGATAGAACCACAGGAATAACTGAGTTTGGGAAGTTTGAGTACCTACCGCAATTAAGCTAAAGGTGGTAGAACCTTCCACTTAGGCTTAAATTAAAGCTAGAACTTCAGACTACTATCCCTGAAAGTACTATTCCTGCACCTTGCCCTGATGGTTACCTATACTCATTTACTTTTTATCGTCCAACAATAAAAAAATACTGGAAAATTATGCAATTGAAAAAAGGTGTAAAAATCAGTGTTAGCTGTTCAATAAATGATTATAGGTGACCATAGGGTCAAGGTGCAGGAATGGTATTTTCAGGGATTGAAGTCAGAAGTCCAAAGCTTAATGTAAGCCTAAGTGGGTGGTGCTATCACCTTTTGCTTAATTGCGATAGGTACTCAAACTTCCCAAAATCAGTTATTTCTGTTCAACAAATGACTATAAGTGACCATCAAGCAAAGGTGCAGGAATTTGCAAGGATAGTATTCGAGAGTTCTAGCTTTAAATTAGGTCTAAGTAAAAGGTTCTATTACCTTTTGTTTCTTTGCTAGAACTTCTCAAATATTGAAAAAAACGATTTTTGACACTTTCACCTCGCTTTTCTTAAAACCTGGAGCTGATGAAAACCTTATGCTTACGGATTCGTAATCAACACACAAAAATTCGGCAAAAATAGTGTTAACAT